ATTGTAAGTGTCAAATTGCTACTGAGTCGAGACTATGTGCATTATATAAGTTTTAATGAGCTATGAGTACTCTGAAAAGATTTCAAGCTAATAATTTACTACTACTGAGATATTGTGTTTTTACCCTATATTTTTAGTAGAATGTTATAGGCCATCTCAGGAAAACTGTGTTTCGAATTTCGACTTGAAACTTTGCATAAAGACAGACACTAACGAGAATAGCTTATTGTGAAAGCTTGAAATTTTTTGATCGTGTCTATTCTTCAATAAGAATATTGAGATCCTGACTCAAAAGTGATTTAACACTTGGATACGTTCCCTCGAACGTTGAGTGTCTTATTTAGCAATACTTGATGTTTTAAATGTGATCACGAAGTGTCTATCAAGTTAATTTTTTAGCATTATCAGTGATTTAACTGATGACTCAACCACATTACCTGATGATGGTATCCTAAATAGTGAGTTCTCGTAGAGAAAATGGTCAATTCAATGTGCTCCTTTTATCAAAAACAAATTTTGGAAAGTCAAAATGTTACCGTAGAAGCGCAAAGATTTTTCTTCATCTAGATGAGAAAAAGTCAAAATTCCATATTTCAAGGATATGCAAAAGCTATTCTCTACAGTTTTATAACTTTTTCAAGTTTTCTGTCAAGTAAATCTTGAAGTACGACGAAATACTAGAGAACTTGATTGTCAGACAGACTTGTATAAAATAAACTTGAGTTAATATGTTCGTGACACATATCGATAATGGACTTGAAATAGCTAAAAGGTTCTACAGTATAACTTTGTCATACTCTTGGAGTACGACGAAGTACAGAAGTTTTTCTTTTTTTCGTACTTAGAAAAATGAAGCTCGAAATAGGTTATTCTATAAATTCTTTTTTTAGTTTCAATTAATTTGTCTACATTTTGATCTCACTAATATTTTTCTAGTGCTGCTATTCATCCTCGTAAACATGTTGCTGTAACAGTATGTATAAATAAAGAATAGTTTATTTGAATTATTAATTTTTCTTTAATTAGGTAAGTGATGATCGATCATGGAAAATGTGGGCTATTCCCGAAGGTAAAATAAAATTTTTTCATTATTTTGACATAAATAAATTAATTGATTTAATTTAGGCGATATGATTATGAAAGGTGAAGGTCATTCAGATTGGATGTAAGCATCTATTTGATATTATTATTTTATTATTTTCTAAATAAATATTATTGGTAAAGATCTGGTGTTGATTTTCATCCCAGTGGAAATAAAATGGCAACATGTTCTGGTGATACATCAATTAAAATTTGGGATTTTTCACAAAAAAAATGTATTCATACATTTACAAATCATCTTTTACCAGGTAAAGTCAACTTGTCATATTTTCAAGCAACACAAATAAAAAAATTTGTTTGTATTCTAGTTTGGTCCGTTCATTTTCATTCATGCGGGGATTTTATTGCTTCGGCTTCTCAAGATAAGACTGTTCGTTTATGGGATTTAAATAGGTTTGTTGAAATTCAAATAATATTAACAAAAAAAGATAACATAAAAATTGAAATTGTTTTTTTTAGTCTTCGTTGTCGAACAGTTATGCGTGGACATCAAGATTCAGTTCATTCAGCTGAATTATTAATGTTTTCAAATATAATTCTATCTAGTTCAGTTGATAAAACTCTTATGTTATGGGATGCTCGAACAGTAAATAAAAACAAAAAGAAATGAAAATTAGTTTGTTTATTTTAAAAATAATTTTCTTAGGGTCTAGCAGAGCATACGTTTGTTGGTCATGTTAATCCTTGTAATCAAGCAACATTTAATTTACGAGTAAATTCTTTTGAAAAAATAAAATGTACTATATAAAATACTGTTTTGTATTCTTCTAGGGTGATACAATTGCATCTTGTGATTCAAAAGGAATTGTTAAATTATGGGATGTAAGAACCATAAAAAGTATGGTTACACTTGATCTTGGGCCGTATTCAGCCAATAGTGTTTCATTTCATCCGGCCGGTAAAAGAAAAATAGAAATTGTTCTGTAGAAAAAAAAAAAATTAATAATAATAAATTTAATTTCCTTTGAAGGCCAACTTTTAACAGCTGCTTCTAGTGATCGAACAATTAAACTTTATAATATTGCCTCTGAACAGGTAAAATAATATTTGCTTTTCTTTATGTTTTGAAATTACTAAAATTTAATTTCTTTTAAGTTAATACCATTAAGTAGTCATCATGATGAAGTTCAGTATGTTAAGTTCGACCTAAAAGGACAATATATGGTTTCAACTGGTCGTGATCGAACTCTACGTGTTTGGTCGTAACTTTGTAGAATTTTCTTTTCTTTTTTATACGAATATATAAAAACATTTATTTGAAAATTTTTTCTCCTACACATAATAATTGGATTAAAGAAAAATGTTTTTTTCTCGTTTGAAAAATAAAGATTTTCGTTTCAATTTGAATTAAATGTCGAAAAATTTAAATTGAGGGCGAAGCTAAAATATAGTAAAACAGATCTTTTCAATATAGTAAACTCTCTTGCAGTTGGAGTTTGATGGTTTCAAACAAAATTGGAATCTAGCCCGAACGGCTTTTTTTCTCATTTTCAGTAACCGGAACCGAAGCCGGAACCGTGATTTCAGTTCCGGATAATTTATGAAACCACCGAACTCTACTGGTTAGTGAACACCGTGCTATACTGAGCACTCTCCAGTCCCCCTGAGTGAATTTTGTTAACTTTGTATTCCTTGATTCTGAATGTAAACATCAGTAGCAGGTGCTACTGGAATAAATTATATGATTGAAGCTTTGGAGATGATTATCAGTGAAAAGAATGGACCAACAGATATCGTTGTCTTTTTGTGAACAGCTTCTTAATCTTTCTCTATCAAATATGATATCTCGCAATGCTCTTGATTTAAAAGTCAAAACTTAATTTAATTAAAGATAAAGAACTTGTTTTATCTGATCGTGATTAAGAGATAAATGTCAAGAATTCATTTGTACTGTGTCTAATACTCTCAAAAGAAAAAATGAATATATATTACTGATTATGAAACTAATTTAAACAAAGTGGTGTAACATAATGTGAATTATGGTTGTAGTTAAACCGTTAATGACAATATTAAAACCTGATTACTCAGGATCTGAACTTAATGTTTAAAATTTATCTAGTTAAAAACCTTAAAGTACTAAAAGTCAAAACTTATTTATTAAAGTAACAAAAAAGTACTTCAGCAGAGGTAAAATATGATAAATCTGACATTTCGATTTATATTTGCTTGGCCGCCTTCTTTATGAATATCCTGCTATATGGGACGATTTTCGTCGGTTCTGATAATGTTCACTATATAGAGATTTTATTGTATTTGTTGTCTTCTGACGTAGATGTTACTGATAGTAGTATTCCATTTATTAATCAAGTTTAAGAATAAGAATTATGATCGTTGATAATTTTCAAAGTACACTACGTTAACAATAAAATTTTATTTTATTTTTTATAAAAATAAATCCGTTGTCAAAAGGTTTAATGCAGTAATTCTAATACATTGACGGTCATTCGGTGCTTTTATCACAATGGGATACTAGTTGATGATTGAATCACATATATAATGACTTTTATTAAAATTGGCGACCATGATAAACATAGAATTTTATCGCTCGTTTATTGGCATCTATTCAACGATAACTATTCCTCTGAGTAGTGTTGTTAGTCGACAGTTTCATTTGCAACTCTTATTCTTCAATCATACAGATGAATGTAGACGAATATTGTCAGACTTCTTATTTTATATCCCATTATATATGTGTATATATTATAGTGGTTTCTGATGATACTCGGCTTGATTGTTTTATCAAGCGTAGTTATTTCTAGCTGATATCTCATTATCGTACCTAAATTTCCCAAAGTTGGTTACGACCATCAACTTTCAGTTTTCATTGCGGCTGCTCTGAAACTAGTAGAAGTTAAATTTGTATTAACCTTAAGTCAAAAATACATATTCAAAGCACAACCGCAGTGAAACCAGATATATCTTCTTGTATTAATATCACGTTTAAAAAGAAAATAATTCATGTAGACAAAACATTTAATGCCACATTAATTCTAACTTTTGAGTTTTCTATTAGGGCGTATGAACTGACCATGATTGGAACTGATTGCATTTGTTTGAAAGATAAACGAGACATCATGGTTTATGACTATCGCTATGTTGTTTTTGTTCACACATCGGCATTCACCTATCGTCCAGATAATATAATGGAAATTCGTGTTGTTGCAACTAATGAAGAATTCATGCCAATAGAAAATGATGAATTTCTTATTGAAGTTTTCGTATGGTTTTATTTTCTTTATCTTGGAAGCTACGAATTAATATTTCCAATTTAAGGATAATAATCTTAAACGTGTTGGTGAATTCCCAATTATTACGATTCGCTCTGGTAAGTAGTTTTGTTGAAATTTTTTCTTTTCAAAATTTAATTTAATTTATTTTATTTAGGTATCACGGAAACATTCAAATTTCCAATTGGCGTACAATGTAATACTGGTATATGACTTATATCAGCTGCTATTGGCAACACAAAATCATCTGTTAAAGTATTCGTTGCTCAATCAGTTACATCATCATTTGATATTAAGACTATATTTCAACAATTTCTTCTTCATATAGATAAAACTCTTCGTGGTGTTATTGAAATGCATAATGATTACAATGTACTTATTTTTGGTTGTGCTTTACTGACCATCGGTCAAATTACTGAACAAGACATGCAAGTGATGAACAAACAACAAAAAAATCATTTTCACAACAAGGACAAACAAATGAAGAATGGAGTAAATAGAAATTACAACGATTTGAAATAGCTAGTCATGTTAATATCAATTATGATCTTTTATCATTATTTAATATTTATGTTAAAAAAAGCTTTTGTTATGCAAGTTTATTTTCAAGCAATTGATCTTGCGTGTGGTCAAGAACGTGCCATTGAATATGTTATTTCTGTATTTATACGTGATGCTATTTATACTATTCGTTCACTTCATTTTGAAGCTGGAATGAAAAATGAATTTAAAATTATTGACAAACGTTTGGATTGTGAACCAACTAAACTGAAAAACTTGATTGTTACTGTTTCAATGCCCATTGGTAATGAACAAGAAAAAGTACAAGAAGAAAAATCAGTTGAAAGTAAAGATTTCTATACACTATGTATAATTTTGAAGTTTTTGAAAGACAAAACTTCTTTGTTTTAGTGGTTATAATAATATTGGTTTATTCAATATGGAAATTCCGGATAATTGTATTCATTTTCTTATGACAGTATGTGTTCTTGTTTTGTTTATTTCTAATTTTCTAGTTTATTCTTTTGACTTTTATATTAATAGAAAAGATAATAAAAAAAACGTGGTTATTGCACTCAAGCTGTTTCTCTTATGTCAACAACTCGACGTAGTACTGGTAGTGCTAAATTATCAACTGAACTATTATCAGCAGTCAAGAGCTCAGTTCAAACTTATGTCAATACACCAGTTGCTAGTTCGCAAATTTCAATTGTTGGTCATATAGACAAATTTTATATTCAATTGATTCCATTGAAATCAGCTGAAAAATTTGAACTATTACCATGTCATATATACTTTTAACTAATGGTCGTATTATATATACTGATGAATTTATTGTTCAACCAAAAAAGAGAATGCCAATCAAAAATTCAACATTCTATTCAATCAGAAGAACAAGTGCTACCAACTTTGTGTATTTAATGGTACTTTACCAATTGAAATTAAGCGTGATATGATGCTATATTCATCATTATTTGTATATACATTTCAACCATCGTTTGACTTCAATATTGCCGAGTTCTATCGATTTTCACTTGCTGGACTTTTCGAAAATACGTTAGAATTAGAAGCAACCTTTGTTTCATTTACATCGAATACTACAATGATTGCGGAAGAAGATAATAGTTCTACTGCAGGTTTTGATTCATTAGAACGTGTTGTTCTTGAATCAATACCACTTTCAAATCACGGTCAAGGTACATCACGTATTAAACTATCATTTAGTGATGTACCAGTTTCAAACGATTGGTCGTAATGTTATTGATTATGATAGTATTACACAAGATTTACTCAATGAAATTACTAAAGAACGTTTACATCAATATTTAACAAATTATGAGCAAGTATCTATTATTGGTATGCCAACAATTAAATCACCATCAGATGAACAAATTGATCCTCATACACATGAAATTGATGCAACAGATAGAACTGAAGCTCAATATTCAACAACAACAACAATAATAGGCTCGAATGATAAAGAGAATCAAACAAAAAATATTGACAGTATAACACCATTTCATAATATGAATGATGAAGTAATAGACGAGATGAATTTAAGAAATCAAACTGTACATTTACATGAAAATTTGGATTCTGAAATGTTAACAGAAAAATCAATTAAAATATTAAATAAAAGATCTATCATTAGTGAAGAAGAAGAAGGCAATATTCATCGTGAAAGTTTAGTTAGTTGAATTATTATTTAATCCTTGTGTTTTTTTTTAACTTTGACACTTTCTTTTTTTATAGGGATTTAAAATTCGTTATCTAATTGAAAATCTAATATTTGATATTAGTTCATCTCATAGTTTAAGGCCAATTAAATATAATGATGCTTATACAACATCAAATATGCAACGATTATATATTGGCGCAAATAGTTGAAGACTACACTCACATTATCATCATCGAACTATGAAATCAATATGATATTGTAGTTAAAAATAATGATTATGTTGTTGCAGCGAGTATTCCATTTGTAATACACTAATGAACTCTGGCGTTGGTTCATTATTATCACTAGTTTCATCAGTTAAATCAGAACAACAACATAATAAAAGTGATGTTAAAGTTACTCAACGAAGTGAAACACAAGAATCACATGCTCAATGTCTAAAATATGGTACACCATCATGATATGAAAAAAATTAATTTAAAATTATCGCCAATTTCACAAGAAGCATTAATATTTATGAAATCAAGATTAATGATTGTTTCTGATTTTTCATCATTGCATATTCCAGCAGATATATCACAATCAAATTTAACTAAGCTATTTTCAAAATATCGTAAACAATTAACAATAACTGAGATGATTCCACCACCAATTATACTTTAAGAACAAGTTCATATTGGTTGTTATCGTTCAATGTTTTTCCATGCAACCCGTATTGAATCTCAAGGGATCGGGAAAGTGCTTCTTCTACGAAGTAAACCATATGCAACGTGATTTGCTACGGTATTTTCACTCAACTCCAATATCAGGTTTATCATCTTTTCCATCAATTTGAAGGATCAGATGATTTCTCGGCTCTTGTTGATAATATACAATAATATGAAAAATTTCATATTGATTTAACTAATATGGACATCGCACAAAAACTTAATTTTAGATTACAAATTAATCAACTTATACTGTTAGTGGCTTTTGTATTGCTAATGTTAATATTAAACAAGTATATATGGAAAAAGAACAACAAACGACTCAACCTGTATCATTTCAATTAACTAATGAATTTTTACCAATGTCATAGTTAAGTGAAATTAGAGCTCGAACATGTTTAACTTATACACCAACATGTAAAGATCTAAAATTAGCTCAAGATACTTTTAATCGTACTGTTATTGTTGAAGTTCAAATTCCATCAGGTAAAATCATTACAAAAAAAAAATATTTTATTTTTTTATTTTTATTTCTATTTAGATATGTGTCTTAATCTTCATTAAATAGAATTCTTTCTAAATCGAGTTTCAGAAGCTATGCACTTCATTTTTAATGAACATACTAATAAAATAAATTTCTTCGTTAATATTTCATCAACTATATATGGTAAACAAGTTTGTTTTGAATGGGGTCTTGAACACTTATCTCTTGTTAGATCATGGACTTTAATTCAAATACGTGCTTATGATTATCTTCAACAAGAATCACTATTAATTCGTCTTTTTCCAATATAAATTGACCAAATCTTCATGGGTATTCATTTTTTTGAAGCTCTTCATAAAGCTCGACCAAATTTTGAACCATTAATAAGCATAGAAGAATAATAAAAGTTAATTCGTAATACATGCATCATTTTTCCAAATGACTTGAATGATTTTGTGTTTTATCTTCTAATACGGACAAGGAATCTTTTTTTTATCATTTTATAAATAAAAATGTTGTCCTTTTATTTTTACTATGTGTTTTCTAATTTCATGAAGAAAGTCTCCCAGTTGATTAAGCACCTTTAAGTTGGGAAAATGTGCATCATGTAGACCCTAATGGGTTATGAATACTCTAGAAAAAGTTTGAGTTCATAGCTTATTGTTGTCGGCATATTGCATTTTTGATGGTATTTTTCGATACAATGGCATACTTTCCGTAGAGACTGAACTTACCGAGAATAGTTTATTGTGAGAGTTTCAGATATTTTTGTTGTTTCTATCTCGAGATACAACCATCGTAAAAGCGCATCTTTCACATACACCCGCACATGCAATATTCTTTTTTCAAAACAAGAACATATCACATGGTCTGCTACTTTCATGATTAACTAAACTCGTTCTAGTCGAAATTCGAAAATCAATTTTTCTGAGAGGAATCATGACATTGTAATTAAAGATAGCGTAATACTGTAATATGCCGACAATCATAAGTTATGAGCCTGAACTATATTTTCAGGATACTCATTAGAGACCTGCGGAGGACTCCGAAACCCGATTCCGACTCCGACTCCGACGGAGTCGGAGTCGGAGTCGGAGTCGAAAAAACAAAAATTTTCGGAGTCGGAGTCGGGTTTGCTGAAANGGGTCGATCATGGATATGGTCGATTATTGGATTAGTGCCCAAAAATGAGTAACTTTGTAAATAGCTTTTCGCTTCAAAAATTCGAACGAAACTCCATGAAAATAGCATCAAAATGTTCATTTTAACTTGCTCTTTCAAATGATGTATGATTCAATAGGGTTATCACGGAAAATTCCTAATGGGCCGATTTGGCCTCTTATGCGCCCCCGTCCTTTTTAATTTCAAAGTTTTATCAACTGAAATGTTAGTAAATGTTGTCTATTCTGAAATAAATAACGCTAAATCAAAGACTTATAAACTAAAATATGTTGTATTTATGTGCCGTTGCTGATAGTATTAAAGACTCTAAGATGAAAGTGTGTCACATTATGGATGTGTTATTAATCTGTCTGCTAAGCATTCATAAATCGTTTTGTTTTCCTGATACATCAACATATAATTGGATCACTTCAACATGCTGAACACAAACATTGTCGTATATCACTTTTAAGTAAACTCTCGATTTTTCATTGTTCAATTATACATTTGAGAGATCGATCGATGATCGAAAATGTAGTTTCTCAAGCTAGTCTGATTGAAATCAAATCAATTAGAGATACTTTGATTTGAATACTTTTTTGTTTTAGCTCTAAGAATATGTGTGACCAACTGGAATTAAATGAAAAACAGTAGTTATTTCTTTCACGGAACAAAATAGCAGACGCATGAAAGACTAGATTTTTCCGACGCATGCTATAATAGTGCTGATTTTGGGAATGTCGTGAGAATTTTGACATTTGGATAAAAATAACTTCGAGACTATTTATTTTATTTCGAATAGGTATAGGAACGCGTGTCTCAGGAGAAATCATATTACATCTTAGTTCACTATTCTCGCATTTCTCAATAATAAAAAAAGTTCTCTCTTATGCCTAAAGATGGAGAATATCAAGCTCTAAAAAATTGTTGATTTTGTTTCTCAAACAACTTCTTCTTGTCAGCACAAAATTTATAAGAAAAAAATCTACTTAATTGAAATAAAAAATAGAAAAAGTCCTTATTTCTAGTGTAACCTATGACATTGTTGTTTTTTAATTTGAAACAATTTAATTATTTTCACTATTCAATTTAATCTTTACACAGTTTTGTTCAGAATTGAGTTCTTTATCCGATAGCATAATCATTAATCTTTCATAGAACAAGTCTGCTTTTTGAAAACTTGTTTTTCTAAAGTGCACTCGAAATTACCGATAGATTTCAATCCCAAGTTTTTTTTTCTCGTAAACACAAGTCTCGCGAACCTGGAAATGAATATTTTAGATTGGGCACTAACAAGGTTAAACTTATTTGAAAAACAAAAGTCAACAGTTTTATACAGCCGAAAATTCTATATCTTTTGGTATACGAAGAAAAATTGTTATACTTATGAAGTAAGAGAAAAAAAGCACCAAGCCTTAGTGATATTTATTCTGGGATACCCATTAGTTTCCCTAAAGTTTTGATTTACTATTGTCGATAAAAAACATATCCTGCGCATTGAAAAACTTATTCTATATATTTAACTTACAAGTCAAAAAAAGTCATTAATGATTGAATATTAGTTCTTGTTTCAATTCTTTGTAATAAATGTTGTTCATTAAAACAATTTAAAAATGCTACAAGATAATCAGCTACATCTTTCTCAAGAAATATATCCGAACCAAGCAAATAAATTCCTGCAATCATTGAAAAACGTGTAGTTTTTGTTAACACTTTAGATAAAAATAAATTATTTTTCATTTCTAATATATAAACAAAACGTAATGTATTCAAAATAATATCTAATCGTTTTTCATTTTCAACAATAGATAAAACATTTGTATAAAGTGATGAAAGCAAACCATATGGCCATGTTGGATCAATTAATGTATCTGAATATTGAATATTTAATTTAAATGAATCATCCATTTGAAATAAATTTCCAAAATGAATATCACAAATATTTAAATCAATTGATGAACGATTTAAATGAAGAATATTTTTATAATAAGTATATAATGATGGTAAATGTTCAATAGCACGTTCATAAAGTATTGTACGATGAGATGGAGAGATTTTTATAGATTCATTTGATGCTAAACAAAGAGATTCATTGGTAATCAATGATAAATCAGCTAATTCAGTTTCATTTGATCTATTAAAAAAAAGAGAAAGAAATTTCTTAAGTTTTGTGTTGTTAAGTAAAAAAAAAAGATTAAAATAACCTTTTCCAAAAAGATAAATCAAATAAAACAAATTTAAGAATTTCTTGTGCAAGATAATGATAACCTTTTAAAAGTGATGATAATAATGAAAATAAAATTTCATAATAAATCGATGGTAAATCTTCAGTAGATTTCTAAAAGAATAAAAAATTTCTTTTCAAATTAAGATTTGAATTTTAGATTTACTTCTTGATTGATGACTTGAATAAATTGAAATAGAAAAATATGTTCAAATTGTTCAAACCATGGTATTTTACGTGTTACTGATGATGTTAATTTATTCAACATTTTTTTAATATAAACTACTATTTCACTATCTTTTGTTAACATTAATTGACTAATAAATTTATTCTAAATAGATAAGGAAAAAGAATTTCTTATTTTTTTTCCTGTTATTATTACTGAAGTAGACAATGATTTATCTATTTGATAAATAATATTGGTTAAACGAAGTAAAGTGATTAAGAAACCAAATGGTGATATATTTGTTTGTGTTAATGTTGGAAGATTGACACTTGCATTTTTGGGAGCTATTGTTGTTCTGAATTATTGCATTATTTTATAATGTTTTGTTACAGAAAAAATGTTCTTACTCAAATTTAACATTTTCCATAAGCTGTTTAGTTGATTTAAGATGTAGAATTGGTTCAAAGAATTGACTACGTATAAGTTTTACTTTCGAGGGTAAATCTAACAAATTAATTGTCTAACAAAATAAAGATTTTTAAATTTCTTTTCTTTTTCTTTTTATATGATTAATACAAACCAATAATTGTTGACCAATTAAAAATGATGCTAAACATGATAGACATGCCGTACGAAGAGCATCAAGTTCAATCTAAATAATACAAAGTTCTTTCATAATAAATGCTGAACATTTTCTAAACAGACTTTTGCTAGTTTTTCAATATGTCAGTTGAGTAAATAATTTTGGATATCGGAAGAAAACTTTACAGACTCTCATATGATACAGTTTTTACTGTTTCAAAATTCCGAGAATTTTTTTATGAAGGAACCTATTCAACTGATAATCTCTATTTGAGCTCATATTTTAGTGATAAGTAGGATTCATAGTTTAGATAACAATTCTGGAAGAGTTCGTTTCATTCGATCTTTGTTCTCGACTTATGGTCAATCTGCTGAACTTTCAATCTATTGAAAGATATCAAGAGAAAAGTTGCAACAAGAAATTTCAGTCTGATATTCTCCCTAACGATACCTCTCACGCTTCTTATGATATTCTTAGAGTTTTAGTTACGAAGAATGATTTCTTCTTATGATATCGTATGCCTAAAAACTGGACTCTTTTTGGAGCTCTTCTGTGAAAGTAACTTGTTTTTTTGCAAACGTATTATCTTAGAATGGAAACATCTGTTTGAGCTAAAACTTTTATGCTATTATAAGGACCATGACAGCTATTGTTAGGGAGAACTTCAGATCGAAACTTCTTGTTGCGATCTTTCTCGTGATATCCTCGAATAAACTGAAAGTTCAATAAAATGATCATAACTCGAGAAGAAAGACGTAGTGGCACGAACCCTTTCAGAATCTTTATCTGCACTATGAGTTCTACTTACAAGCAAAGTATCAGCTCGAAAGAAGATTATTAGTGGGATGAATTCCCTTCTGAGAAAAGGTATTAATCGTTCTCTTAATATAGATATCAGTAGTATGAACCTACTTTTTCATCAGTTTCTATCATAGTTTGTTTTGCAATCGTTAAAATAAGATCAAAAAGCCCATCAATATGTGACCAATTGATAACATTTGTTGAATCTTCAGATGAATTTCTATTAGAAAAATATTTAATAAACAATTCTTATTGTTGTTGTTATTAACTTACTGATGTTTTAAAATAAATTTTGTAACATAAATTATCAATGCATCAAATAATGTAATAAGTTGAATTAAAATTTGACTAATAATCATATTTGGCATTTGTTGAATACACATTCGACAAAGTGGAATAATAATTGTTGGTATTAAAGAACTATTTTATACAATCAAATATCGATTATTCTTGAAGAATTAACTGCTCTTACCCAAATTCATTTGCCATATGTCCTTGTAAAATAAATACACGCCAAAGAGATAATAATTCACTGAGAGTTTGATTATCTTGTAACGATGAAGAAAGACTAAAATAATATTAATTAATAAACTATCAATCCAACTGAATTTATTTTTCTTATGTAAATTTAATCAAAAGAAAAAAAATTATTTTCTCACTTACTTGACTGCAGCTACTAAATGATTTCTTAAACGTTCATTAAGTCCATATCGATTGATAAGATTAAACGCTAAAGTACTACCATGACTTGCTAAAATTCGACAAAATTTTAAAGCTTCCTGTAGTGAATGTTCATATACATGTCCTTCTTCTATATGAAAATCAAAATAGGCAATAATAAGAAACAATCATTATCTGTTTAAGTTTACCATTAGGTGTAATTATTTCTGGAATAAATTGTTTTATGATAAAATCCATTAATTGTCTTTCTTCAAAAATCTATCAAAATAAATAAATAAATTATACAAATAATTAGAATATATAACAGATATCTTCATAGCAGCATTGCCACCATGATGCCGTCGACTATGAGGGAGATGTTTCAAAAATACTATCGTGATAGATTCTTTTTTAGGAAGTCTATAAAGTTGTATGAATTTGCACCTGATTTGGGTATCTTCAAGTCTTTTAGTCAGAAATATGGTGAATCTAATGGATTCAATCTATCTGTACCAATTTAGCACAATGACGAAAGAGAATTTCAAACAAATTTCTCGAAAAACATCGCAACAATGATAGGTGTTCAACCGTGTTGGACATCTATGATATAAAGTAATGATTTACTTGATTTGCACACGTCATTGAATGTCTTGCCATACGAATAAGAATATGAAATGAATGTTTAACTGGAATTATAATTGTTAATGACGGTAGTAATTTCATTCGATCAAGTAAATAAACAAGTCTTTTTAATACATTCATACGAAATAAACATTTTATTAAATCTTGTTCTAATATTTCGATATCTGTTAAATCTGATTCACTTTTCTTGTCACCTAATTGTATATCTGCTGGTGTTAATGTTGGTTCATAATATCCACATGGCCAATGCATTGTCTGAGAAAGAATTTCCTGGAAAATAAATTTAAACAAATAAAATTTCCTTATTTTTTGTTTTTTTTTCTAATATCTACTTCATCTTTTTTTGGTGCAATTAGATTTGCTAAACATTCAATAGCTATCATATATATCGATTCAATTTGTTCATCCATAGCCCAACGTATAAGAAAAAGAATACCAGCTTCAATTAATTTAGGTATTAATGGTAATTGAAGATCACGATCATAGATACCAGTATGAGCCTATAATAGAATTAGAGCTTTTTTTTGTATTTTGATTCATTGAATGAGAGAAAAAGAAAAACAAACTTGACGAATTATATTTGATAAGGTTTGAAGAGCAATAACACGTTGTTGAAGAATAGTTGAACGAGAAAGATGAAATAATTCTTCTAATGTATAACCAGCTGCTTCTGGTTCTTCACCATGATGATGAAGAGCAGCTGTGACAGGAATATCAGCCATACGTGACATTAAATTACCTTTAAAATCAAAACGAGCTGGAACACCTTCCGGATGCTAGAACAAACATTAAAAAAATACGATCGCTTTATCATGTCAAGATATAGTGAAGTTCTTTAGTGATTATTAAATATTTTATTGCGAAATATTGCTCGATAGAGAACAAAACAAATAAATAGTCCTTTCATTGATTTCATCGTTTTCATATCGAATTTTACTTGTGTTCAAACGAATCAACATCACATTTTTATACGCGAAAAAGTTTTAGTCTAACAAATTGAGCAAAGAATGTATATTTACATAAATGATATCAGATCGATCAAAAACTAGGTAAGTTTTGTATAGGTGGAAAATGCTTTGTATCGAATCAATGATTGTGGCAAAGTATGACATCATAAATTCGATCGTATCTTTCATTTAAATTATCTAATGAAAACAAAAAGATTCTTTCTCGTTCGAATAATCTTATACAAATGTTGATGATTAATGAAAATACTTGGGTTATACCAAAAGTAGTTATGAAGCTATATCGATTTCTAGTAGAAAACTTGAAGAAATTTTCTTTTATGTAATGATAGAGAGAACGATGCTCTATTTTTATGTGGCACTTGATCACTCTTTAATCAATACCATAATAGTAAAATTTCGATCAGATCTGTTTCGTTCGCATGCGTGATGGTAATATGAATGGTCGTGCGTACTTTTTGAATCTCTTTTGACTGAAACAAGATAGAGAACTGTAGCTTTCGCCATTGGAAAGAGGAGATGAAGATGCATTGAATAATATAACGTATGATCGAAAAGTTTTTGGACAAAATATTTGTTCACTTTTGACCAACTAGAAAGTATTACGGACGAGTCAAAAGCTATATGTTAGAACCAGAATTTTGTGCTCTCTTCAAATATGG